TATCTTTAGGTTCATTTATTAAAAGTACTTTCTTGAGAATTAGGGTGTGTGTGTGTGTGTGTGTGTGTGTGTGTATAAAATATAATATCAGTACTTTCATGTTTTTAATGGTATAAATATGACATCCACCGTCCCATATAGTAAATGTGTAAATAAATAAGATAGTAACACTAGTAAGGCCAGTGTAGCAACACTGCATAACCTGACGACAGAGAGGGGGTGTCTTTCAATTAGGTTAGCTTAAGGCTACAAGATGGTGAGCTAACACCACATCTGACATGTTAGCCTGCATCTTAACAGTGCTTTTCAAACATGCCAAGTTATCATGATTGGAAAAATGCACCCATTTTGCTTGTTGAGACATGCCCATTTATTGATGTTGCTTGTGTAAGGAATGTAATGTTGGACCATGGTCTGGATGAGACAATAGAGGAAATTAGAAATTAAGCAATTCTAGTGCAGTAGCCTGGTACTCTTAAGTACTTAGAGGGAGGAAAATAAACAGTCTGAAATGAAAATGTGTATTAAAAATTAAGTATAAATTTCAATTGCATTTATAATTATGGCATTCTTGATAGTAATGGTATAATTGTCTATATCGTGTTGTATTATAACCCAGTTTCCACACATACATAGCTCCATGATATTTTTTCCTTTGAAATGGTGATAAAGCATGGAATTTGGGGGGGGGAGGGGAGAAATACAAGGAAAATCGCTCATGTTCTTGGTGTTTTGACTCACTAATAACTTACAGGGATGAACCAAAACATTCTCAACTTATTTTGTGGGTAAAGTACTTTTTGAGGAAGGTTGTTTCATATTTGAAAGGAATTAAGTGATAAACAATTGAAAATCAGTTGTGAGCATGCTCATTGTGTAGCTGTTACTATTTTTGAAGTCTAATGAAACCTGTTTTCCATTATGATCTCACAATATATATTTTGTCTGCCTAGCCAGGGACTGTTGTTACTCTCATTCTGCTACTGGGACAATTTGCAGGAACGTGATTGTAAATGTCCCAAAAACTGAAGAGGGGAACAAGCAAATCTCCAAAATGTCTAATTTAACGTTGGGGTAAAAGACAAACAAACGCAAAATTCAGTTATAGAAAATTAATATCTTGCTGGTTGAAGGAGAGTTGAGCAGTTGTTTGTTTTTGCTACATTTGTAATTGGTTGTACATACTAACTTTTTTGCATTTTAAAAACAACCTTTTGCCATTAGGAAAAATACAACCCATTATATGCTTTGCTACCCAGCCTTGCAGAAAACTTTCTCCAGCAGCAAAGGTTTGAACTATGAGTGATTCATCAATATGAAAACTGGGACCCATAAATCACCACTGGTGCAGCATAACTGTATTGAAGCAATAGCAATGATGGATTCTGTAGTTTAGAAAAGACTCAGGTGGATTTTTATCGCCATGTTGTCAAACCTTGCTCATAGTATAGAGCAGAGGTGGGTAAACTATGGCCCACAGGCCACGTCCAACCCGCAAGACCATCCTGCCCAGCCCTTGAGCTCCCGGCCCCTCCCCCGCAGCCACACTGCCACAGGTGCAGCGCTCTGGACGGCGGGGCTGTGAGCTCCTGCCGAGCAGAGCGGCAGTGTGTCTAGCTCCGGCCTGGCGGTGCGGCTGCCAGACATGCTGCTCTGAGTGGCATAGTAAGGGGGCCAAGGCTGGGGGGTTGGATAAGGGATGGGGGATCCTAGGGGGCAGTCAGGGGACAGGGAGCAGGGGTCGGTTGGATGGGGTGGAGGTTCTGTGCGGGGGCGGGGTCAGGGAATGGGGAACGGGGGGGTTGGATAGGTGTAGGGTCCTGGGGGGGCCTGTCGGGGTGAGTGACTGAGAGCAAGGAGGTTGGATAGGGGGTGGGATTCCGGGGGTTGGTTGGGGCAGGGGTACTGGGAGGGGTTGGTTAGGGGACAAGGAGCAGGGGGGGTTGGAGGTTCTGAGTGGGGCAGTCGGGGCGGGAAGTGGGAGGGGGCTGTTTGGGGAGGCATAGCCTTCCCTACCCAGCCCTTCATACAGTTTTGCAACCCCAATGTGGCCCTCAGGCCAAAAAGTTTGCCCACCCCTGGTATAGAGGCAGACTAAATGTTCACAGTAAGCATAACCAACTGTCTTTCATTTTTTACCTGAATCCTACAATATCATTTATACTTTGGTATTTTGGCTGGTTTTTGTTCTAAATTCATTCAAAGAGATGAAGAAATGGTACATGTAGTTTGAAGATGACCCCCTTCCCATCAACCAAAAAATCTGCTATCAAGGGAATGATGCAGCTCTCCTCCAGTAGGAGGATGACCTTGAATGAGGCCGCCACCTCAGATGAGTAATTACAGGAGGGGTGGAAATTTACCCCTCAGACCAGCTCTCTTTCCCCCCCTCCCCCCCCCGCCTGCCAACTCTTACCTTAAAGAATTGGTCGAGCCAGTATGCGGCCAGGCCCAGTGCTAGTCCATCTTCCCTCCAAATGTTGCACCAGGAAATTCCAGTTCCAGGCCTAAACAGCCCCCAACTATGCAGTTACAGATCATGAATCTTATTAGGAGCACTCCCCATTCTGTACTTTGCATGAATATGCTCCACCCTGCCCACAATACCAAACAGAAGTGGCAGAGCAATTGTCTGCCATATACCTAGAGTTTTTTGGCTTCTGTTACAGATTGACCTTTCTTCCCATGGCTGGGAAATTTGTGATCCATGGCCACCTGCATTGTAAATATTTTGGAAGGGCACAGATATGTTCTGTTCTCAGTATAGTTTTGAAATACAATGCTCCAAACTATTCTATGATGCATTAAAATTTCAGAAAGCAAATTTAAATGCATTTAGCCGTTTCAGTTTATATCATATACTGTGTGTGTGACTTCATTTTGCAATATGCAGATATCATAACAGTTTTATAACTTTTGGGATTTATTCATAAAAAAATTCAAGTTGTATATTGTAGCCATTCAAATCAATATGAACAGGTTTGGATGAGCTACTAATTATTGAATTTATATCACTTTTGTAGAATGGCTAATTGTTTAAATCCCTTGATGTTTAAATATAGTTTTTCAAAACTATAAATGTTTTCTTCCTGCACAATTACTCCCTTTAATTAGAATTACTATAGCATATGTGCATCACCACTTCCAACACCTATGAAGGATTTGTGTGGCATCATAATTTTAAAATATTCTTTGCTATCTGGAATAATGTTGCAGGGCATATGTGCTTAGAATTTTATCTTGGCTATGTCTTCTTAAAGGTATTTTTTTAGGGTTGTTTGAAATGTCTGAACTACATTCTAAAAAAAAATGCGGGGAGAGTGCAAAGGGAAAAACATAAAAATCTACATTTTCCTTATTTCTGAATCTAAATTTATTTTCTGTTCTATGACAAAAGTACCAACAATTCTCTTCTGTGTTTACATGCAGCCAGGAGCTATGGGCGGAGAAGAGGTAAATAAAATAAAATAAAAATGTGCTAAAGGTTTTGCTTGTCAACTTAAGGATGTGGGAGAAACAGATATTTCGTGCTGTTCATGTTATGACAATATAATAATTTTTCAATCTCTTTGGTTTATCAGTTGCCATAAATATCTCAATTGATTTTTTTTACTTTGTTTTCAAAATAAAGCTCTTAATTCTCATAATTTAAAACAGTAAATGATGATTTCTAACCAGTAGCTTCCAGTTTGTTGCTTACAAATGATTATCTTGTGTTATTCACGTGTTCTGTGATTGATATGCTGCTTTTAATATTGTTTAGTGGTCCAAAGGGGAAATAAGTTCAAATTCTCATTGTATTTTTTGAAAATGTAATGTTAACTGGTTCATTGATAAGCTTCACAAGGAACACTTTTCTGCATTAGTGAGATTTGTTTTCTTTCAGTAAATAAATAAATTTGATTGTCTCAATCAAGATACTGTCAATGCCCACACTGGTCATCTTTCTTAGTATTACATATCTGTAATTAAACAAATGAAGGAAAACTTGATTAAATTTAAACACTTGTATTACATCTCAACATTCAGGAAACTTTTTTCTACTTTGAAACTGAAAATAATTTGCAAAGATAGTACATCTGTCATAAAGTGCTGCTACATCTTTATTCTTTGTGGACAATATCAAGCTTGTTAACCACCCAACCCTGCCCCACTTCCCCACCGTACCTTTAATTTACCCTGTATGTAGATACACAGTGCTGTTGTGCCATGAGATGTATTACATTGTAACTATCTTGTGCCTCCTAATGCTGTGTGTCTAGTATAAAGCTTTTAAAAAAAATCAACTAAACAGAAGCTCTTAAGTTTATATGAGCTTATTGATTGATCCTCGGATGGTTTCAAAATTTTTTGTGTCTTGATGAATTGCTAATTCAAACCCTACACATGCGGTATAAGAGAACACCGGACACGTGAGTCAGATGACAGTGGTACACATAGTAATTTGAGTGAGAGCTGACAACTTCAGTGTTTGTAGATTCTTGAAATAAGAACACTGCTATAGGACAATGACTTTCAACTTTTTTAAGTGAATTTAAAAGTCATGAAAATGAGCAATTAATATCAATGGTACTAGTCAACAATAATGAAATTAAACTGCTGGTAAGGAACTGTAATTCTGAGGCTTGAAGTACTGATTTATTCCAGTTCCAGGGTTTGAACCACCTTTTTACTTAGCTAAACTTTCAGAAATTTGAATGACCTTTTAAAAACCATTTTTTCTCTTTATTTAGAAAATCTTTTAAGGGAAAATATAGATTTAAAAAAACTACAACAGCAGTTAAAATCTTTTTTTTTTAAATGGCTTATCGAATAGAAGATACAATGCTGCGGATTGTAGATTTTTGGCACCTATAACTTGCAAATACTTTTTATTTTATCTTTATTTTTGATTACGTGACACTGAAATAATTTAAAAATGCATTTTAGTTCTTTCTAGGCAGTGAAATATATCACTGACTATATCATGGTGGAGTATTTTATCTTATTGGGTGCAATCCAGAGTTTTGCATTATATTGTGAAAAAAACTGAAGACTTAGGTGTACAGAGCAGTATGTTGGTAGAGGCTAGACAGGTATATAGATTGCATGAGCTTGTGATTTGAAATTATGTAGGGAGACAATCTTGGCCATAGAATATGATTACATTTAAAGCTGGAATTTTTAGTAGGTTTTAATAACTAAGTATCCATCTTGCATTTTTAATTTAATATCTTTGTCCTCCAGGGAAAAAATCTCTAGTTAGGTGGGCAATATGTCGACATGATAAACCCTTCAGTGCATTCATTCACTGCCACAGTACTCCTAGTCTGTTATACAACCATTGTAATTAACATAGGCATAAAACAAGTGTATGGAACAGTGGGCCCCATCTATGCATGTCAGCACTCGGAATGCAGAAGAAAGTTAATCTTTTAAAATTGAGGAGAACCCTCCCAAAATTATAGCAATTAAAACTTAACCCCCAAAAAAGTCACTTTGAGACCATTAACCACTCTTGTATTTCCAGGCAGAAATTTCAATTTTCATGTCTTATTAGGTGAGTGAAAATCTTAGAATGTGGCACTAACTATGGTGACTGTGTGACAGGGTATACAATTAAAGCACTATAAAACTTACAGTAAAGGCAAAAAAACCCACCAAGTTCTAACAGTTGTGACTCCCAATATCCTTTCTTCACCTAAAAGATCTTTCTTCATCCCATCTCAGTTTCTTACCATGTGAAATACTCATCTATATTGTAATTGGTGGAGTAAAGAACTGTTTATTTTTGTTAATGAATCTTGCTCTTTAGATTTCTCCTGAAATTTGCATCCATTTTTTTCTGTCTTAGTCAACTGCCATATAAAACTATAAATCACCACATTATATTAGATGTTTATGCTTTTTCAGAACTATGAATTCATATATATAGGAAATTGCTTTAAGCATTGAGCTGTCTTATACTTATAAAACTTTTCTGCAGAGGCTATTTTATTTATATATAAAAATATATAGATAAAAGCTTTTAACGAACCCTCTCGAAATTATAGCAATTAAAACTTAAGTTTCTGATCTATTATTAGAGAGACAAAGTGGGTAAGTTAATATCTTTTATTGGACCAACTTCTGCTGGTGAAACAGACAAGCTTTCGAGCTATACAGCGTTCTTCATGTCTGGGAAAGATACTCAGTGTCACAGCTAAATACAGTAGAATCTCAGAGTTACAAACACCAGAGTTATGAACTGACTGGTCAACCACACACCTCATTTAGAACTGGAAGTACGCAATCAGGCAGCTGCAGAGGTGCACAAAAAACCAAAAGCAAATACAGTACTGTGTTAAACATAAACTACTAAAAACGAAGGAGAAAGTTTTAAAAAAAGATTTGGTAAGGTAAGGAAACAATTTCTGTACTTGTTTTATTTAAATTAGGATGGTTAAAAGCAGTATTTTTCTTCTGTATAGTAACTTCAAAGCTGTATTAAGTCAATGTTCAGTTGTAAACTTTTGAAAGAGCAATCATAATGTTTTGTTCAGAGTTACGAACAATCTCCCTTCCCGAGGTGTTCATAACTTTGAGGTTCTACTGTACAAGGTTGAACCGCTTGTTTAGTATAAGGAATTCACCTTGAATGGTTTCTTACAATATGTTAAGCAAGCAGTTAATACCTATGCAGTCTCGGAGAAAGGAGAGTTAAGTGGGTTATAAAGTGTTGTAATGAGCCATAAATCCAGTATTGTTGTTAAGGCTCATCTTTCGAAGGGGTTGTGCAGGTTTCTTTTGAGGATGAGGACAGATATGTCAGATATAGAGTGATCATTTGTGAAAAGTGTTTGCCTATGGGTGATAGTGTTTTTGTCTTAATTTTCTGTTTGAGTTAATTCGAGAGCATTGTGATTGTCTCGTTTCACCCACATAGTTACTGGGGCATTTAGTGCACTGAATGAGGTATTCCACATTTTGTGACAGACATGTGAGGTGTAAACTGCCCGCTTCACATGTAAGAGACCATTCAAACATATTAATTTCTTACGCTAAGCAATCTGATCCACCTTGTACTTAGCTGTGACAGATTACCTTTCCCAGACCTGAACAAGAGCTCTGTGTAAGCTCAAAAGCTTCTCTCTCTCTCTCTCACCAACTGAAACTTGGCCAATAAAAGATACTACTTTGCCAACCTTGTGTCTCTCATATCCTGGGACCAACACAGCTACAACAACACAGCAAACAGTGGAAGATATCCTTTATTTTTGGTTAACATTTTATGTTTTGGCAGCTCCTAGGGGCCAGTGAAGTCAGGGCCTTGTGCTAGGTGCTATATCAATATATAGTAAATGACAATTTCTGAAAGGTGATGGTAATTCCTTCTGCCACTGTGACTATTTAGGTTTTTTAGTAACCTCTAATGAGAGACTTTGTCAAAGGTCTTTTGGAAATCCAAATAAATTAGGACAACTGTTTCTCCTTCATGCACTATTTTATAAGACTGCTCAACGAACGCCAATGAATTAGTGAAATATGATTTTTCTTTGCAGAAGACATGCTGGTTAGACCGTGTCATGTCATGATCTTCAGGGTGTCTTTTAATTCTATTTTTAATTATTGTTGCCACCAACTTACTAGGTATAAAAGCAAGATTTATTGGTCTGTAATTTTCTGGATCATCCCTAGTGCCTTCTTAAAATATAGGTTTGCTAATCTTCCATCATCTGTCATAGTAGCTGATGCTCTGTTTTTGCTAATAAGTTAGTCACTTTATTCTTGATTTCCTTCAAAACTCTTGGATGTATCATCTGGATCAGGTGACTTATTGCTTTTTAGTTTAACTAGTTCCAGAACCTCTTCTTCTGACACCTCAGTCTCTGTTACTGCCTCATTATTGTTGTTGTCTTCGTCAAACAATTTTGAGGAGATGCCTACCACAACCTACTATTTTTTGACAATTGCAAGGAATTAATTTATTTTTCCAGCATTATCCTTCTGTTCCTCAATTGCTCCCTTTATCTATCCCATGGTGGTCCAGCATCCACTTGTTTGCCAGGATTTCTACTTCTGATATACTTTCTTGTTTTTATATCTTTAGTTATTTGCTCTTGCAATTGCATCTTAAGCCTCCAAATTTCCTATACACGTCACACGCATGCAACTAAATCCTGTGTGTTACTTCGGGCTAAGTCAAGAATAACCTCTCCTGTTGTGTTCTCTAAATCTATCAATTCCATGAAACAGTTGTTCAAGTTTTGAAAAATTGCTTCTCTAAACCTTGTCTCGCTGTGACATTTAACTATTACTATTAGATTTGACTATATATGGGTAAAGTCCCCATTATAGTTTTATTAGACTTTGCCTTTTTGATCTCTATCAACATTATGTCCTCAATATCTTTTTTCCTCCTCTGGAAGCTGTTAATATAACCCTACTAGGATATTTGTATTTGTATAACTTGGGATTTTTATCACCAGTTAGAATATTTATCTTATTAGAGTATGTGCAATCTTTTAGGTTCAGCACTACTGCTCATCTACCTTCTTGACCTAATCTGTCCTTCCTGTATAGTTTGTAGCCAGGTATTGCAGTATCCCATTGACATTTGCCATTTCACCATGTTTCAGTGATGCCTGTTATGTCAAGGTCTTTTTCATTGCCTGACATTCTAGTTCATCTGTTTTTGCCTTTTAAGCATCTCATTTGTATGTAAACATCTATAGTTTTTATTTTTGACCAAGTGCCTATTTTTTTAATTTTTTTTAGAATGAAACCTTGTTAATTTAACAGAAATTACCTTTGATCTTAACCTGTCCCTGCCCAATTCAGCTGTCATTTCTAGCCTATCCTTTACTGCTAGATACAAGGGATACCTTTGTGCTATTGACATCCTTTACCTGATTTGAGTGCTCCTCAGCACCTATTGGCTTTCTGTTAAGCTCCCTAAGTTCCTATTTCCCCCCATTCTAGACCTCCCTACTTCATTAATAACAATATGTACCATAACTACCAACTCCTACCTAGCACTATCTGGAAGTCTGTTTAGATGTCTCATGAGATACAGCATCTTTGCACCCAATAAAGAAGTTAATGAGTGTTTCTTCTGGTCACTGCATACCCAGCTATCTATATTTATAATAATCAAATCCTTTATAATATGTGTTCATCTTCCAATTACAAATCCATCCCTTGGAGCAACTGCCTCTCTATATGAGGGAAAATTCAGCCGCATCAGAGTTTGAACATGGGTCCCATCTAAATGAGGGAGTCCTTCCATTCCATCTAAGTCTCTCCCAATCATGAGACTGGCTTCTTCAGCTGTTGAGGGAAATTGGTTCAGAAGTGGGCAAGCTCTATGATGTTCCTTATATGCAGACCCTGCATCCCTCTGCTCCTCCACTTCTGCAACTCTGGACTGCAGATATGCTGTACTTTGGCTATGAGAGTCATGAGCTGCTTACATTAGGTGGGCACAAGCCAAGAAGTTATTTGGCCCTCATTCTTTGCAGTAAACTGGGTAGTACCCACCCTGAATATTCTGCTGCTGGTCTACTACTCTCATGGTCAAACTGGGTGTTAACAGTGGGTACTAGCTTGAGCTAGGTGTAATTTTTCTTCATGTAGAGAATAAGGTTTTTTGTTTGGTTGTTTTTTATTGATTTATCTAATTATTTGATAAAGGACTTTTAAAATATTTTTGCCTGCTAATCAATTAAGCTTCTTGCTAAACCACCCTACCCAACTTCCACTCATTTCAAACTCCCCTGTGCTCACTTTGACATTTGACTCTCTGTTCTGGGTCTTCCCTCACTTGAATTTCCTGAGGGACAAGGTGATAGCCACAGCTTTTTGGCACACTTAAACTTAGCTGGGGAAAAACACTAGAAAATATGTTGTAGGGAACAATCCGGCAGTGGAGTAGCCTAATGATCTTGTGTATCTCTTGTAGCATTAATTTCTAAGAATCAGTGAAAATATTTTTGTTGAAAACTTCACAGTAAAGAGTTTTGAGAGGGTCTGTTTTAAATTTAAATCTCACTCACAAGGCTCCCTGAGTAACAGTGCTAGACAGTGAAAGCAGATCATTTTCCTTGCTTTCATTTGTTAGCCAGCTGTAGTTAATAGTTTCCATATTTATAGCTGAAACATTTATCTCAAGTTAGAAGAAATACCTATTTCATACTTAAAGGTTATCCAACTGTAGCTTTGGGAAAACGTAAACGACACCTATAATAAAACACTTGCTTGAATGCTGGCTATTGGCAACAGTGGAATGTCTTTAATAGAAGCGTCTGTGTTTTAAGATAGTGAGCTAGTTATAGTTGAGAATTTTTGTTGCATATTTATTTTTGTAATTTGACTAAATAAGGAAAGAAAGGGAGAGTGGGATTAAAAAGATAACTGCTTTAACAGTGTGCTTATAATTACACTGAAAAAGATGTTTTACCTACTTACATAAAACCGACCTATCACTTCATTTTATTACAAAACAAAGGCAACTGTAATCTTGCACACATTCAATAGCTGATTTTATAATCTAGATAGTGATGGGCACTAGCATATGAGAGGGCTGTGCTCTTGCAGCTTATCCTGTAAACATGACCACACATATTGTTTCTTACCACCAACAGTCCTACTGAAGACAGTAGTACTGATGGTGGTGGTAGACACAATGTGTGGTACCATTTGCAATATCTAGTCTTTAGAGTAAACTGTTAATTCTGTTGAAGTAAAACATAACTTTAAAAAAAGGCATATTTAAGTAGGCCTGGGTTCTTAAAGGAACATTTATTTCTCCAGAAAATTTTAACTCTAGAAACTCCCAAATCTGTTACAGGTCGGTCTTCACTCTTTCCTTTTGAAGATGGCTTCCTAGACGACAGTCACGGTGATCAGTCTTTATCATCGGGTCTCAGCTCTCCAACTCGCTGTCAGAATGGTGAAAGAGTGGAACGCTATTCTAGAAAGGTGTTTGTTGGAGGTCTGCCTCCTGACATTGATGAAGGTACTGTGAATCCGTGATGTGTACAATTGGTGGGGGTGGGAGTTGGTTTTCTTTTATAAAAATCCTGACTTTTCCTGGCTATGTGGCTGGTAGTGTGTTGTGATATTACAAAGGCAACTTGAGTTTGGGAATCTGCTTGGAATTTTTGCAGATTGCTATAGGTTGGAAGAGGCTGTCAGTCTCTGTGGAGGAGTGATGGATTGATATGCCCTAGTAAGCACGTAACCTCCACAGGAATGGTGTGTGTCTATGTATATAAAGTGTCTATGTACATAAAGTGAAGAAATTGATGGAAATACAGGGTTAAATGACTGGTGAAAGCCCTCAAAAGTCCTGGACTATTTCATCTCTTAATCACGGTGGGAAAGAAAAAAAAAGAGAGAAAAATGGCAGCCTATACTTGTTAAATATGTCCATCATTGTAATAAAAATAGGTTTTAGTTAATAAAATGAGACTCCATTTACTTGGGTGTTTCTAACAGATGTTTACAGTGAATCAGTTTATAAATGTGACCTATTTAGTGTGGTTGCAAAAAGATATTTAGGTTATTGTCAACAATCATATTTTTTTGCATTGTGTATCTGTTTTATTAATAAAACACCTATTTTCACCACAGTCCATTGTGGATATTCTTCAATTCCTGCCTACCATACCAAGAATCCACTATTAACTAAGCATGTACAGGAATTTAAGGATGCATCACAAGGGAAAGAAAGGCTTTTTTTGAAGCTGACTTTGTAGTAAGCTTTTTGCCAAACCATGTAATACCATATTAAAGAAATAATATTAAACATCAAACATTGCGAAAACACTGCCCTGTATTCCCATGGGACTTATTTTGACCAAAAGGTTTGAGTCTTGAGTTTCTGTTTAAGCAACTCCAACAGGAACAGAAGCCATATCTCCAACCTTTGCTGTGAGTTACAGTTCATAAAGCTCTATTGGAATGCATAGTACAGGGAATTTTTAAAAATAATGAAATCTTGGTTTAGACTTGGGCTTTTCCTTTCTTCCAGATCCATTTGTTTAAGACTAATATTCCTTCTATAAAAAGAGTTGCAAAAACATTTCAGAAAAGTTACAGTTCCTTGCAAAACAAACAGCCTGTAAATGTGGAATAACTTTTTTTTTCCTTTGGTTGGTTTGATTTTTTGGGGTATGTATGTCTGTATTTAAAACCGTGATTAAATAATGTTTGTTTGGTAAGCTAATTACTTTTAACCACAAATATCTAGAGGTAGGCCTCAACCAGAATTCGGAGTTCAGATCAGTGTTTGCAATACACACCCTTTCTAATAGATCAAATGCAGTTTCTGATTCTGAGTATCCCATACTTTGAGAAATCTCAGATCCAGATTTTGAATCTCCGAAGTCTGAGAGTTAAGATGGTTCAGATTCATCTTGTTTTGGTTGTTTCAAAAAAATAATGTGGCAAATCTGTATAAAGGCTTCTGGTTTTCATCATTACTACTACTAATACAGAAAATTCTGTCTTGTAACAGTGCTGCACATCTGCTTTTAGTCTGTGAAGCTGCATAGTGAAAGGCAAAACTAGTGGTATTTAAGCAACAAAGTATTGTAGAGGTGGTAAAGCATATTTATTTCAAGAAGGTTCACGTATTCATCATTTCACTTTTTCCTGTTTTTTCAATAGCTTCAGAAAATTCAGTCTCTAACATTTTCTTAAGCAAGAATGTTTTTTTTGCCACTTTTAATCTTCAGATTTTCTTTAAGATTCCTTATTTGTTTTTGTAGATGAAATCACTGCCAGCTTTCGTAGGTTTGGACCTCTTGTGGTGGACTGGCCTCACAAAGCTGAAAGCAAGTCATATTTTCCACCTAAAGGTAATTAGCTTAAAATAAGTCTACACTGGCTGTTCTGGAACGAGCAATTGCCTGCTGCTGCTTTAAAAACATTAAATCCATTAAAACCACCAGCTTTGACTCTTTAAGATGGTTGCAGTCTCTTTCAATTACAATTCTTCTGCAGATACCTTGTTTATGGGGGGGGGGGGGGAGAAATTGCAGTCCATGTAACAAAAAGGTTTTTTTCAACAGTGAATCTATGGAGTCCCATTTGAGTTGTACTCTGCTAGTGGAGGTTGCTCAGTTTAGTGAATCAGGAATTTGTATTTAAGCTAGTTTTATTCTGGGGGGAGGGTTGCAAAATTTCCCCTGTTAATTGAGCTCTGCCAGTTAGTAGCAACAATAAGAATGTTAATGTAAACAAGGCTTCCATGGCATTGAAACTTTTGAAACAATGTCATTTAGACCAGTTTGGGGTTGGGGAGGAGGTGGTTTGGGAGAGTTTCTTGGCTTTATACATTCCGTCTTTTATTGAATACCCACAGCTCCTGCATTTTTGTAACTATCATATAGCATACCTTCTGTAGCCACAAGGGTGGGTTAGCACTCATATTCAGAGATCCTTCCATTCTCCCCTGGCCATGAATATTCACAATTGTTCTTAAGGCTGGTTTGGCAGCACATTGTACTGTGTTTGGTCACTGAGCTATCACTCCTACTATACTTTTTAGATGCACTTTTATGTGCAAACCGCTACTCTTACCAGAAGTTTTTTAAACTGCTTGAGGCATGGTAACTTCTTTGTGACAAGTAAGTCTCCTGCAAATACCATTTAGGACATTTCTGTCTCAAAAGAAAACTGCTGTCAGTGGTTATTTTAGAACAGGGGTTCTCAAACTGGGGTTCGGGACCCCTCAGGGGGTCATGAGATTATTACATGGGGGGGTCGTGAGCTGTCAGCTTCCACCCCAAACACTGCTTTGCCTCCAGCATTTATAATGGTGTTAAATATATAAAAACGTGTTTTTAATTTATAAGAGGGGGTCACACTCAGAGACTTGCTATGTGAAATGGGTCACCAGTACAAAAGTTTGGGAACCACTGTTTTAGAACATCTGCTCATGTATAAATAAGATGAAGCAAACATATGCTTTTGAGCGTAGTTCCTAAAAGTTGCAACTAACTAATGTAGTGCCTTACACAGCTTTAGGTTCTTTCTAGTCAGAGAGTTCCTATTCTAGCTTCAGCCAAGAAGTAAAATGAGTTCCTACTTGACCGGATATCTCCTAGACCTCCACAAGTTTGTTTGCTGTGACTTTGTGAATAACTAATTTAATTACAAATTTGTTGCAGATTAACATGAGACTTCATTAGTTAGGATCAGATTTGTTCTGTATTCCGGGAGGCTAAATCAGTCTACTGTCAGACTTGTAAAAATGTTTTTGAGTAAGATCTATTTTAGTGGAAGACAAGGGAATCCAGCCTCTCTTCTATTTCTGTCATGATTCTATTATGGGGAACAACTTTCAAAGCCCCTGCCAGTTGCTCTAGAATGTCTGTCTGAAAGTGCTAAACAGTCAGTCCCAACTGTTCCTGATTATTTATAACTGGCTTCTTAGTTATCAATCAGGGCTTCAGCATCGTCCTTCCAGCATGCCTGTCTTTAGGATTCACTTGTACTTGTACTAAGCCTGTTGATCAAGTATATTTGACTTACAATATACTTGTTGACACCCTCAAAGAATGCTCATAGATTAGTGATGCATGACTTCCCTTTACAAAAGCCATATTGACTCATATTGTGTTTATCTGTGTCTGATAATTGTGTTCTTTACTATAGTTTCAACTAATTTGCCTGGTACTGAAGTTAGCCTTACTGGCCTGTAATTGCCAGGATTGCCTCTGGAGACTTTTTAAAAAAATCTGCATTACATTAATTACCCTCTAGTCATCAAGTACAGAGCTGATTTAAGCGATAGATTACATACCACAGTTGTTAGTTCTGAAATTTCATATCTGAGTGCCTTCAGAGCTCTTGGGTGAATACCATCTGATCCTGCTGACTTATTACTGTTTAATTTATCAATTTGTTTCAAAACCTCCTCTATTGACACCTCAATCTGGGACAATTCCTCAGATTTGTCATCTAAAAAGAATGGCTCGCATGTGAGGATCTCCCCCATATCCTCTGTAGTGGAGACCAATGCAAAGAATTTTCTTAACTTCTCCACAATGTCACATATGATGGCCTGATGTGTGGCACCCTCAATTACTGCAGTATCAGAAAAAGTTCATGAATTTTTCTGGGTGATCCATCTGCTAGTCATGAGGCTATGTAAATACCTGGATAGAACCTGGCCCTAGAGTGTAGAGTACTGTCAACGTAGCCTACTGACACTTATGTGATGGCAGAGTATTTGTAACAAAAAACTGCGGGAAGTTCTGGGCTTGTTCATCAGACATGACACTGAAAAGGACTAAACCATGTATTTTGTCTAACACTACAAAATACTGTAATTGTCTGCATATATTTTAAAGGGTTTTCTAAATTGGTTTCACTGCATAAATGAGTAAGTATGCATCTGCCTTCTATTTTTAAAATGGCTTGGCTATCAATCACAAGATCACATTTATGGATGTTTAAAAAAAAAACAAACACCTGAGTAAAAAACAACAATCTATATAGTATGCATTTTGTCCTTGGTAAATGCAGAATCTGGATTGCTGGGAGACGAGGGTAGTGGTGATACACAGCTGTTTGTCACTAAATGTGTAGATTATGCACTTGAACAAGAGAAGCTGTTAGCAGCAGCTGACAATGTGTGTAAGAGGCTATTTCTAGTCCCTTGCACGTTTAAATTACTGCTTTTGCATGGCATTTTTCTGCTTTGTGTTGAAATGCTCAATGCTGTTTCTTTTTATCAGTGCCTCCCATGAGGTGAATCAAATGCTTTGCTTCTCAATAAGGCCAAATTATTACTGCTGCCTGAAGATTCTTTAGGTGACTTGCATACTTCATAACCTATCATAAACAAATGCTTAAAGGGACTGGCAAAATTATAAATGCCATGTGCTAGTCTTGGGGAAGCAGATGCTCAAATTGTAACACGTTTACTTGTATTTTATTGCAGAGTTTTGAGAATTTAAATGCGATTTGTGGTTGAGTTTTCTTTTAAATACTTATGAGATTTCAAGAAATAATGAGAAGTTCTAAAGAAAAATACTGGAAGCAGCAATACATAACTATGACTCAGCCACTTTAGACCTGGTAATCTATTTTATTCAGGCAAAAGCTGGACATTTAATTTAAATATGATTTTTTTTGAATACTGGCCAGTAAATCTAGAGTCTAACATTTTTAACTTGAGCAATACACCAAATGCAGTAATTAACTTGTTTCTTATACATTATTTTGTGTTAAGCAGATAGTACACTACTGTTTTTAAAATAGTTTTACTTTTCCTTGTATGTAGTACTAGCTTGCAAACTTGAAAAGAATATCTCCCCTCTTACTTGTTTCTCTGTGATAAGTATTTATTTTTCCGAAGACTAAAGTGAGGGTGAAATTCACATGGTTAGTGGGAGCTGCTATGACACCTTTGAAAAAGGTGCCTGAGTGCTGCTCCCTTCACTGGATCATGGCTAGCAAGAATAGGGGAGGGAGGGAAGGCAGCCTCTGGTTTCATCCATTCCCCACTTTGAAAGGGAGGAGATGGGGAAAGAACAAATGGGTTCCAGGGACTGAAAAAGATGTAGGATGTGGGGTGGGTGGAGCTAATGTGATAATTGGGAGGCTTTTGAGGTCAGAGTGGAATTAAACACACAGGCAAAAATGAGATTAAGTGTATCGGGGGGGGGGGGAGGGAAGAATGAGTGAGGTTGCCCCAAATTCCTCCCCTCCCTGGCTCCCTTCCAATACTTTTGTCCTGGTCTCCTCTCCCACCAGTCACCTTCCAGTGCTTCTGAGGGATTTGGGTGAAATATACCATCTGCATTTCTCCATTCCATTCACGCTACTTAATGGGGGACGCTGAGGGGAAAACAGTAACCTCTTTTCACCAGCAAGAAAATACCACACAGGGAACTGCCTGCACCAAGCACTATTGTGAAGTCATTATCTTACTTTACTAGGAGTGAATGGACCAAGTTTAAGATTGGAGTAATATAAGCATAAACCCATTTGTTAAAATCCAAGAGGAGCCACTGGACTATATTTTCTGAATATTTAGTACACTGTATTCTGTTTAACAGGAGTCCACTCAGCAATGCACTTTAGTATGCAGAAACACTAAAGAATTCCAAACTGAGATTCTAAGATGAATTAATGTCTTGTAATTAACCTTAAAAGAATGCTGCCATCACTTTAAATTTATGCTTTTCCATTTTTATTTAAACTGTTTATAAAACATTTGAAGATCAAAACCTCTTTTTGGACATTTTGGCCAGTTTCCTTTGGGGAACACCGTATTTTGCGGTGGTTCTTCTGGTGCACAGGCAAAATGAGTCTGTGTGCACAACTTGGATGACCGCATCCAAGCGTAGCTTACAGAGCATTAGGCAGAAATTTTGTGATATAGAGTTAATCTTCCTATAAATTTTTTTTCTGGATTTTGTGGACATGAGATGGCCTCCTACCTAATATAACAATCTCTTGTACTAGAACTACATTTTTTGGCTTAAATAGTCTATTTAATATTAATTAATATTATTTAATACTAATACCATTAAGTCCTTGAGCAGCACAAATATCTTTATTTAAAAAATAAGCTTAGTGATCATAATGCCATATTGACTTGAGTGAAAATTGAAGTTATCCATCCACAGATGCAATACAGATATCAACAATGCAAGTTCTTTGAGTATTTTTCCATGTGGTCCCATTGTAGAAACATTTATCTTTTGCACATAAGCCTAGAATCTTTTAGCCAGCAGTGTCCACTGGGGCTGTGCAGTACACCCTGTATACTCTTTCAACCCCTACAGCAAGATTATAAAAGATGGATCAGCCCCCAACTGGCACTCAGTTCATTCACACTGCC